TCATTTCAAACCTTTGCCCAAGCACAGGTACATTTTGTAAGAATGCCATGTTATCGGTGCTATGAAACATTTTCAGAGGAAAAATATGTAAACATCTCTTATATATATATATTGCAATAAAGACAGATGCTTACATTATTATTCAACCAAGTTTGAGCTGCCCCGAAGCTGAAATTTCAGCCTGGCAGCATGTAATCGCAAATAATTCCGGCCCGGGCTAGAAAGCCAACTGTTTAAATGGCTTTATTTTGAGTGTTTGTTTCATCTTTAAATATACTATACATGTAACCACAGTCTCACACAAGTCAAATAGTCGACTAATCAGCATCTTAATGCTTCAAAGAAGTGTAACAGGCTTATTCTCATAATAAATTATTATTCTCCTATTTCGCGACACTCTATTTCGTGATAATTTCAGCTGGGGCTGACATTTCAGCCTGTGTTGACTATAAATATACTGTAGCTCTGACTAAACTCAGACCGAGCTCAAACTGCAAATTATTGCAAATCATGCAAATTATTGTGATGCAATTTCGATCAGCTCGTTTAACCGGACTGAAACTCAGCCCGGGCTGAAAACTCTCCATGTATAATGTTAAACAGTTTCTTCATGCATAAAATGTGAGCCTGGGATTTCTCAGAGGCATATAAACTATGAGAAACTCAAAAATGTATCCAAAATGTATTCAGCAACATTCAGGGATTGTCTGGATATTAAATATAAATATAGCTATTTACTGTGATAACACAATATAGATATAAACACAAAGGAAGGATAGTTCTCCTCTATAAATACAAAGCCTGAAAGCCATAGAACTTAAATTAAAATTAGCTAAATGAGTCAATATACTGTATTGATACCTTCTCAAAATTAGCTAAATGAGTCAATATACTGTATTGATACCTTCTCTGGCTTCTCAATACATCAATACATTAACAATATAATATTTATATTGTTATAAATGTATCGAGAGGGTATCAATATTGACTCACTTAGCTAATATTGATATAATCGCCAAAGCAAGTTCTATAGCTTTGTATGAGAGCTGAACAATCCTGCCTTTGTTCTATCTGTATATTTCATACCTTCTTCTAGCCTGTATATATATCATGATTTCGACAGTTTGACTTGCTTAGATCACATATTATTGCATTATTTATTTGCTTGAAGATATAATCTGTAAATACAAGGCAATATCACCAAGTTTTAATGTATTATAATAACAATATATTGTTGAAACTTTTACACATATATACATGCGGCCAACGCACGGCGGTTAAAATATACACGAATATATTACTATTTATGGCACATTTTTACACACGAAACTTAAAAATATTGACATAGTTGAGCACTTACATTTAAAATTGTTGTCTTTATCTTCAAAAATTGGAGTATTACTTCTTATTTTCTTCAATATGTTAAGAAATCTTGGCTATATCAACCGACGTTAAAACAAAATTTCCAAAAGACGCGCTCGAAGTGTGCTCGCTAAGCCTTATGGGAGCCCATATCTGGCAACGCGATTGACTGAACGCACTGATCTCAATCATGTGAACAATCCAGTGCAAATAATCCTGTATCTCTAGTTTTTTGACAGAAACTCTTAATTCTTCAAAATTCTAGCTGTGTTGTTATATCTACCTTGCATGCCAATAATAAAAGAATTTACGACACGATATAAGGTATATACATATTTTAAATATTTTAGTTCTGGAGACTAGACCTCCCTACATGCCCTCCCCAGGACATTTTGCTGAAAATATATTAGATCACTATAAACTAAGTTTATGACTATATGACAGACCAACTATTGAAGTAGTATTTTCATTAGGTAACTGTATATTCATGTCAATTGTTAAAACCCCACCTCTTTCACTATTCATTCCCATAAATAGCCAGCCTATCCACCCCCCCCCCCCCCCCCCCCATACGCGGAGTTGTGGAAATTAAAAGATGATTTATGGCAGTGTGGTTCCTGCATGAATGTATACTATTTGCTGAAATGACTGTGATAAACAATTCAATGTTAGGTCTGTACAGTGTTGTATATAGCCTATGATCAGTACTAAATATGTAGAAAATAAGGTGCATTTTCTAATTCCTTAATTTATTACAAAGATTATGACTGAACGAATATTGCCTATAATTGCCTATAACTGTTTTGTCTTTTGGGCAATTATTATTGGCCATGGCTTATAATTTAACTTCTTAATGGTTGACATGATTTGCCACGTACAAAGTTTATGCATTATGAATGAGTATTATAAGAATATTTAAAACAACATATTGTTATATATTGACTATATAACACCCGAGATAACAGTCTATTAAACTATACAATAATTTTTAGAACTACTGAGTATTTTAACAAAATACAAAACAAGTGAAACTCCATTGATACTATTATATAAATGTTATCGATCTTTAGTTTATTCAGTTGTTGTCAACTACAAATTACAATAACCTATTGGTGAATTCGCTTGACCAAAGCAATTGTTTAAAATAACCTATTTATATTCGTTGTACAATGTTCAACTTAACCGAAAAATAATTGGTTATTTTAACCTATTTATTTTGGTCAATTAGTTAAATAACCTATTTATATTAGTTGTGCCCAAATGTGCAAGATTAACCAAAAAATAATTGGTTATTTTAACCTATTTATTTTGGTTATAACCTATTCAATTGGTTAAAACAACCTATTTATATAAGTGATAACCTTTACAAATAGGTTATTTTAACCTATCAGTTTTTACAGTGTTGTAAAGAGATATTTGTCAGTTGCTGCAATTCAGGTAAATAGTTTCATACATAAAGATGCGGAGTCCTCAGCAGTTTCGCGTTGCGAAATTTGTGGCACACCCACGATTTTTAGATTATAATTATAACTATACTGTTCAATAGAATCACTTGGTGCAGCTAATTTATCGGTTTTAATCATTAGTTCGGTTAGTTTAGTGTTCAGACACTTTAGTTCCTTTTCTGTTGAACCTTTGAACGATTTGATGTCGTCGTATTCATCGCTTAGATACTGCAATCCTTTCGCTTGCTCTTCCAGATCAGTGGCCGAAGGCTATGGCGGCCCGTGTTTATCAATTTTTGCTTTCATTGACGACATTTCCTTCGCAAATTCATTCAGTTGATCTTTTAGAGCATCATTAGCTTTTCTTAATGATTTGATAGTATCTGCCATGTTGCTTTTAATACAAATCTGTATTTTTTGAACTTTTTGTTAATACTAATACAAAAAGTCTTAAGGAATTTATCAGACGTCCGATCAGCACGAACGCTTGACAATGTGTTTGTGGACGACTCGAAAACTTTTCTAACTTAAGCTATATCTTACATTTTGCCGAGAATTAAAAGCACATTGTATCCTGACAGCAAAAATTAAGTTGTGATCTGATACGCCTAGATGGATAACTCCTGACTTTGCAATACTTTGCTTCTTATTCGTGATCAACAAATCGATCAGGGTTGCTGACGCTTTCGTTACCCTTGTAGGCTCATTAATTAGCTGATCAAATTATGGTAGTACCAGTGTAGGAATGACTTACAGTACTACATCACATGGTCTACTGATTTCTACGCATATCATATCTAGTGAACATGTTAGTAAGTCATTTCGTTCGGTAAAGGGTATAGTGTCAACGGACATGCAAAAGCCCACACCCTTCAATATCTATTGCGATCTTTTCGAATTAAGTGATATCCGACAAGAACGTCCAACTTAGGGCCTTTGTGTGAATGAGTAAATGACGTGACCTCTGTGCTGCTCGTTACAGCATATCGCGAACACGCCTTTGATAAACGATCCAGTTCGAAAATGATGTACGATAAAACTCAGAGTATCAGCAAAAAATGTTCTTCCCCAATCATTAAAATGTGACACCGAATTGGAAGAGATTGATTGCGATGCAGACTTGACCAAAAGACAAAACTAGTTCTACATGTTATTTCTCAATCATCTATTATATTGTTATCTCAATTTTGTTTTAGAAAGATGATTTTAGACTAGGTTATGCAAAACTTAGTATGTTGTGTGCTGTATTTCCTAACGTACAGTACCAGTCGTATTGTTATGACTGCTACAGCAAATAAACTTGACCGACGAAGGCACAAAAAAGAATCACTTGGCTTGCATAATTGCTTTGATTTAGTTGCAAATTTTATATAAACTACTCACGGATTTAAACATAAGTATTGAAAATGTAATTGAATCCGTTTTTATTGAGATAATAACAGCTGTTGGGAAAAATCTAATAGACGGTCTAATATACAGACCACCAAATAATAAAACTGATTTGTTTGAAAATAATGTGAATAACATTCTAGGGAAAATAGACAAAGAAAATAAAAGATGCTACCTTATGGGGGATTTGAATATTGATCTACTAAAATCAGAGTCTTGTGATTATACTAATAAGTAACCTGCGATCAGGCCTATAAATAAATAAATATTGAAATAAATATTGGTAAATATTGGTTTATGAGACAAAATATTTTTTAATCTGTCATTTGACTGGTTGGTGCTTGTAGAATAATTTGTAACATTATACTATTGATAACGCCGTAGGACAACAAACAATAGTTGATTTAGTCGATTGACGTAAGGAATGTATCATATGTCATGAATAATATACTTCGAGTTGATTGTCAGACTGAACGCACGAGAGAAAACCAGAAGGATTGTCATGTTATGTATTTTATCGTTTGAATAGTTTTAAATAAATATGTTTTAAAGTACGCGTGTGTGTTGTATTTCCGATGGTATTGTTCTGATAGTATACAGTCCCCACGAAGCGCAACTGTCTTGCGGTGTAAGACAGAAAAGTGCAACACTTGGTCCATGCCAGCCGGATAGATTACGAAAGAAAAAATCGATCGAAATAGATACCGACAATGCCGTTGGACGAGCTGACAAAGAAAAGAAGAACACTCACAGCGCACAGAGGTTCAGCAACGAAGATAGGGACGAAGATAAAATAATGTTTAGCGAATACGAGTGAAACGCCTCAGACGGACAAGAATGTGCTGAAACAGCTGAGAGACACGCTGAGCGAGAAACTCGAAGCCTTGAAACTTTTAGACAACGAGATTGTCGAGATACTAAGTAATAGTGAAGCCGAAGATGCAGAACAACAGCTGGAAAAGGAAATTCAGGAGACAGATGATACGCGAGCTGAATTACAAAAAATTATTGTCGACGTGAATGACGCATTGTTCGAAGCCTTGCTGTCACTACCACAAGGTCAAGGTACACCATCGAATCTGAATATGAACGCTACGCCCAAACAGACTGTTCGCGCAAAGCTCCCAAATTTAGAGGTCAAAAGATTTAATGGGAAAATTCAAGAGTGGCAAGAATTTTGGGACTCCTTTGATAGTTCTGTAAATCAGAATGACGCTCTATCAGAGGTAGATAAATTCGCGTATTTGAAAGGTCTACTGGTTGGTCCCGCGCAGACAACTATCGCAGGGTTCACGTTGACAGCAACGAAATATAAAGAAGCATTAGAACTCCTGAAGACACGATATGGGAAGAAAACGGCGATACAGAGAGCTCATATTCAAGCGTTAATAAACATAAAGCCAATACATAACGAGCGAGATGTGCGTCGACTACGGGAACTGTACCATGCCTGTGAGACAAACTGCCGAAGTCTGAAAACCCAGGGAGTGGACGAAAGTAGTCGTATGCTACGATTGTTGTTCCGGAAATACTCGACAAGCTTCCGGAATCCCTTCGTTTGACGATAACTCGTGGGTCAAGTGCAGGTGGATAAGATTTTCTAAATTGGACGATGAAGGATATTCTAAAGGCACTTTTAGATGAAATTGAATTGCGCGAAGCACACGAGTCATCTACGACGAACACGTCAAAACGAGAAGGAAGGAAATCACAGTTTCTAGATGGATCGGCGACTGCTCTTGTGAATCATACCACCAGGGAAGGGAAACCAAGATGCTTATATTGTTTACAAGAACATTTATCACAAAATTGTAAGAAAATTCAGGATGCTGGTGAGCGTAAACAGATACTTCGTAAGTACGGACGGTGTTTTATATGTTTAAAAAGAGGACATATTAGTAGTAATTGTTTAAATACGAGTAAATGTAATGCATGCAGTAAACGACATCATAGTTCTATTTGTGAGAGCCATGCTAATGGGTCTATAACCGCTGACGTCGTTCATTCCACACATTCGTGCGTTGGGTCAGCAAATAGAGTAGCATTGCACACAGCTCAGGCTTTGGTGATGGGAGGAAAGGAGAATGTGAGAGTGCGGGTTATGTTTGACTCAGGAAGTCAACGGTCATTCGTTACGGGCAAGGTAGCTCAGAAGGCAGGAGTGGCAGTAAAGAGGAAAGAATGGGTAGAAATTAGAACGTTCGGACAGGAGAAAGTTGAAGGGAAGTTGAGAGAAGTGCTTGAATTGAGTGTAGCCCCAGTACAAGGGGGAGAGAGTGTTAACATTGAAGTTTATGGAGTAGACAGCATTTCACAGATTAGGAATGAGCATGTAGAGACAAGGAAGAAAGATTACCCACATTTGCAAGAGTTATGGTTTTCCGATGTTTGTAAGACCAAGAATGTGTTAGAAATAGAGTTACTAATCGGCGCAGATTATTTGTGGTTATTTCAAGAAGGGCGTACGGTTAGGGGCAAGAGTGATGAACCTGTTGCGGTACAAACCAAATTAGGATGGGTGTTGTCAGGTTCACTGAAGAGTAGCTCTGAAGATGATGATGGTCCTACATCGTGTGCACAGGTAAGTGTAAACCTTATTGGGCATGTAACTTCATCGAAGAATAGGTCCCTTGAAGCATGTGTTGAAAAATTATGGGATTATGAAACGTTAGGTATAAAGCATGAAGAAGAAGCTAGTGAGTTATTAAATGATTCAATACATTTCAATGGCCAACGATATAGTCTAAGTTTACCTTGGAAGGAAGGGCATAGTTTATTGCCATCTAATTATAGCTGTAGCGTGCAGAGATTAAAGGGACAGCTTTTAAGATTAAAGAAGGAGCCAGAAGGTTTACAAGAGTATGATAGAGTAATTAAAGAACAGTTAGAGCTAGGTATTATAGAACCAGTTGTAGAGTTAGAGAGAGCTGATAAGATCCATTATTTACCACATCATGCTGTGGTTCGTAAAGATGCAAAGACCACTAAGGTCAGGGTTGTGTATGATGCATCGAGTAAAGAGACTAAGAAGGGTGTATCTTTAAATGACTGCTTGCATGTTGGGCCACCTCTATCCCCATTGTTGTATCACATTATATTGCGTTTTAGAGAAAAGCGAATAGCGCTTGTAGCAGATATAGAGAAGGCTTTTTTAAATATTGAAATTGACCCGTGTGACAGAGATTGTTTGAGATTTCTTTGGGTGGGCAACATACATGAAGATGAGGTGAAGCCAGTAGAGTATAGATTTTGTAGAGTTGTTTTTGGTGTGAACTGTTCACCATTTTTGCTGAATGCCACACTTCAACACCATCTGGACCGCTTTTCGAAGGGTAATCCTGAATTGACTCGAAAGTTGAAGGACGGCTTTTATGTTGATGATCTGGTAACTGGAGAACAAACACCTGAGCATGCATTATCATTATATGAAGCTTCTAGTAACAATTTAGCTTCCGGGGGTTTCAAGCTTAGGAAATGGCTCAGTAATAGTAAACTTATATTAGAGAAAATCCAATCAAAGGAAGAAATCAAGCCTAATAGCTATAGAGGAAACTTGGCATGTGAAGAAACATTTGCTAAGACATCCCTTTGCATGACACGCAAGAATGACACATCAGAGAAAGTCCTTGGGTTAGCTTGGAATCAGAGGAGGGTGGAAGCTCTTCCCAGCATGCATTGCAACTCATTAATTTCACAATCATGATTTTTCACAATGTTATTTGGAAAAGTTGTGGATATTTATTTCGATATTTCGCCACGAAAAGTTCGTATTTTTGAAGGTAAGTTTTTATAATTGTTTTAAATATGAGTCAAATTAACGATTTTTGCTTTATTTGGTGTTTTAACAACGTTTAGTTATATGTTAATCGCAATTTGTATTGACCTGTTTTTCTGGTCAATGCACAAGTGTCAAAAGTGGCTTTCAAAACCGCTGGGGACAATTGGGTTTATAAATGAGTAAATTAAATAAAAGACACGCCATCGTATTCAGGAAGAGTTGTTCTTTCTATGAGAAGTTTAAAAAATGAATTGTCCCCATCAAACTGACGAGTAATCGCGGTTTGAAAATGGGGCATTTTCGGTATACTATGTCGCCCATCGCGGGTATAATCGACCGCATGGGAATTATGGCGCGAGGAAAATTACTGTACGAGTCGTTATTATTTTTGTTTTATTTCGAAGCATGTGCATATATGTCGATCGTTGTTGAGTTTAACTGCTGCATTTAAGTTAAATACACTGTATTTTACCATTATTTTTATAGAATTCGAATATATTTTGTGAAAATGGAATCTGATGATGGCAATGTAATGTTGTTTATATTGTTGATCCTTAGTATGGGAAAAGTTGAACTTATGAATTTAATGCTGATTTAGAACTGTTATTGAGCAAACTGTTCCTACATCCTGCTTTGGCAAATGGTATAACATCTAATCCAGCCAAGTTGTGCTCATTATCCATTCAACTGATTCAAGCAATGAAACTATTGAACCAGAATAATAAGAGCAACCTCTTATATAAATTTGCCCATACCAGCCTTTTAATAGATACATATTTTAGTAGACATTTTACATGTAAATATTGGTGTATTGGTGACATGAAAATGTTGCAATGAATCTTAAGTATTTACTTTATATATTGTAACTTTGAATAAAGCATTTTATTAACATCAATTATGTATGACCACTGCATTTATATGACGACCCCCCACCTAGCCCTGGCCAGAGGGTATGCAGGGGGGGGGGGGGTATTTTCATGATAAAGCAAAAAATATTAGAGTCAAAATGAGTAATTTGAGTAATAACATGATAAGTAAAGTTAGTAAACTGTTTGTTAACAACAATTACAATACAGTAGTCAAGCAAGACTTTGCTGTAGTCAAGTAAGTTGATAGGTGGGTGGCACACATGACTGACACAACTCGGCACCAGAGCACCCTCCCTACCACATCATACTGGATCCATATTTAGATCAGTGATCCATCTGTGCTAAATATACAGCTGTTAAAACAGTGTTAAGAACACATGCACAATGACTGCAGTAAACAAACACAGGAAATTGAGTTTGAAAACATTTATTTATTTGAAAAAGGAATGGTAAAATTATATTTAACAATTATTCGCCGAAGGCGAGGTGATTATCGGGGAATATTATACATTGTAGTTGGTAAAAGCAATTTGATTGGCTAAGAGCTAACAGTTAAATCGCGCAATCACGCAACCTACACAAAATTCAGTTATCTGCTAGCAGATAACTCAGTTATCTGCTAGCAGATAACTGAATTTTGTGTTAGGTTGCGTGAAATTGAATGAGTGTACATTTCAAATGAGTGTACATTTCAATTTTCAAATGAATGTACATTTCATAATTGTAATGTTTACTTTAACAAGTAAATATTTTAATACGTTAACATCTTAACGATAATATGTTTCTTTTATATTTGTAATTAATTTAACTGTTGGACTTCCGGAGACTTGTTTATAGAAACGTTTTACTTGAACAGCTTTGCCAGAAATCATATTGAATATAACGCTTACCGAGACCTTGATAATTTTGCATATCGCAAAAACCGAATTCAATAATTGTTTTATTATTTAAAATACTATGTTTATTATTCTTCAAATGTATAATAAAACAATTATTGAATTCGGTTTTTGCGATATGCAAAATTATCAAGGTCTCGGTAAGCGTTATCAGCCTCGCCTTCGGCTCGGCTGATAACGCTTACCTCGACCTTGATAATTCCGCATATCACAAAAACCTCATCCAATAATTGTTAAATATTTGCCGAGGTGAATATTCCCAGATAATCACAGAGCCTGAGGCGAATAATTGTTTTAGTATTTTTGCACAAGTTTTTGTATTTTTCTGGTCTGAATTCATTTTAATTTCGCTTATTTCTTTATTACTAACTTCAACAAAACAGCTAGCCGCCATTTTGAAAATTTCGATTTTGTTATAATATAACAGATTAATACATCAAATTTGACCAATCACCTTGTAGCATTTGTTATGTTCACTTGTGCAAAAATACTAATATCAAATATTTACCTGAAATAATAACAGTGTTTTAATAGGAATAAATTTATATGAAAATCTCAACTAAAAATGTCTTGCCCATGTTCTACTTTAAATTTCAACTTGAGATTTTTTGATCATCTATACATGATTATCACAAGTTGCATGGTATCTTTGTTCTCGCCTGGAACCAGCTACAACAAACTTCTCAGGATACAAAGTATCCTCCACAATCCTTGTCTTAATTCTCAGGATACAATGTGTCTCCACCACAATCCTTGTCCTTCAGAATCCTTGTCTCCATCCTCCTAATCAGAGCTTGAATCATTCATGTATTTAGCATCATCAGTAGCCTGTTCCACACCCAATAATTGAGTCAACTGCTGAATTTCATCAATCTTGTCCATGTCTGCAACTCCACCTTCTGCACCAATACTTTCAACATCACCAGGCATCTCTTCACCATGAATTTTAACTAAACACATAGGATTTAATGGCTGTTTAATGCAATTGCATAACAATGGCTCATCTAAATTCACCAGTGGTAGGTCATTCAGTATATCCTCTAAAATATCCAGCTTGGGTGGTCTGATTGTTACAGAAGTTGGTGATGGAATAATGTTAAACTCCCACAACAAAACACAACATAAGTACTACAGGTAAAAAAAGATTTGATGCATTTATACAGGGACGTTGGAACAATAAAAAGGCAAGGGCACCTTTATAGACCTACAATTATGTGTTGACTTGCCAATGAAAGCCTGAGTGTGCATGTTCCATTGACGATAGCTGTTCTGTGTTCTGGAAATAAAGTCTACTCAATGAACTATAACTGCACAAACACACTTAATCAGGTCACATTCAAGTTCACACCTCGTGACTTTGCCCAAAACTGGAGATAAGATTTAGCAGGCAGAATTTCTATAACACAAAGTGCACTTCTGCCCCCCTTGCCCCTCCTCCCTGCTTTTATGATATTAAAATAGATTTGACTCATTTGACATTCAAATACTTGTAGTCTTGTATGATTTCCGAGTATAAATGGCCCATTTTCCCACCAATTAAATCATAAAATAATCGTACCTTAAGGTCACAACTAGAATAGATTTCTATCAATGAAGGACTATCGCATTCCACAGATACAAAACGTTCTTGAGAGCTAAGAGATCGCAAAACCCAGATTTGTTTGCGGAATACCGTGCGTTGAGAAATAGAGTAACACGCGAAGTAAGACTTTCCAAAACTAAATACTACGTAGACATGTTCAATGAAGTAAAGAGTTGTAAGTCATACTGGAGATTGCTGAAAAATGCTACGAATAAACTGTCGAGGAAACCAATACTTGGTATTAAAGGACTAGATGGAAAAATCATAACATCTGATCAAGAGAAAGCTGAGTTATTTAATGAACATTTTTCAACAATTGGTGAAAAACTGGCTGATACACTTCCCGCTATAGAATACCATGCAACTTTCACCACTACCATCAACCGCGTTACGCCCACAGTGATGGATATCAACCTGACTTACGAGAGTGTGTTACAAGGAGTGCTAAATCTCAAACCCGACAAGGCATGTGGTCCGGATAAGGTTTCACCCAAGTTACTCAAGAACGCTGGTTGGGCATTGATTCCATCTCTACTTTCCCTCTACACTTCAAGTGCAATAAGTAACAGCGTACCCGACCAGTGGAAAAATGCCATTGTTTCGTCACTGTACAAGAAGGACGATGAAACTGAGAAGAGCAACTACAGACCCATATCCTTGCTCTGTGTGCCCGGCAAACTCATGGAGACGTGTGTGTCCCAAACCATCACCACTCACCTCGCAGACCATGAGCTCAGCCACACTCATCAATGGGCATACAAGAAAAGTCGTTCGACAGAGTTACTCTTGGTGAAAATGACCGAAGATTGGAGACAGGCATTAGACGATAACTTAGTGGTCGGTGTTGTCTTCGTGGACTTTCGAAAGGCTTT